GTGCTTACTAACTGCAGTGAACAATTTCATGGGTTTCACATGAGACATTGTTCTTTGCAGATTAGTAAATTAGCACAATAAGCCTGAAAAACATGTGACACTGTTCTTCACTGCAGATGAGTAAGTAAGCACAAGGAAGCCCATGCTTACCTTTCTTATTAGGTCATCTACCCTGATTGTGACATTACTAGGGCCTGGCTCACAGAGGGAAGCCAACAGACACTTGTTGATTTCCCTCTGCGAGGGAATTAAACTATGAAACTTTGTTCCTATTTCTATTTTAATATGGTCCACCTCAGCACCACCCAATCTCCAGGCAAGCCTGGGGGGCACAGGTTTATAAACTCATCATTAACAACTTTAAGCCCCACAGTCCAATTTGATGGGACCTTTCATTCCAGGCAGCTCCCAGCAGCCTTAACCAGCCCAAGAGGACTAGGTCTTGGGGTCTATTAACATTCCACCTGAAAGTCTCAAGAGCCTCACCTGCAGGGACCAAGGGGGCACAGAGCCCCCAACCCCTCATCTGCACAAGCAACTCACCTGAGAGATCCAGGTCTCCCCACCCACGTCACCACCCCAGACCAATTAAGTCAGCGATTTGGGTGGGGAAACCCAGACAATGTCTTTTTTGAAGCTGCTCATGAGTTTCCAATGTGCGCCCTACCGGGGGAAGAATCACTGATTTAGGTCAGAAAGCAGCCGGTGGGGTAGGGCCTGATTTCTTGAAACACCTGCTGCCCATGGAAGGCCTATAAGGCCAACCCGGGTGGAGACTCGTGATTCCGGCCAGGTGAGTGTGGGGCTCCTGGATCTCTTAGAGAATCACCCACCCAGCTCTGGGTATCCTTGGGGAGTTACTCTTGCTCTAGCATTCTCAGGGCAATGTTGTGGTCTCACCGTGTAAACAGGGGTGGCTTGTAGGGTCGTGCCCAAAGGACCATTTGCTTCCTTGCTGAGAGTAACAGCGTCATGGAAACCATCAGTAGCCCTTGCCTTGTTTGGGGAGGGGAAGGCTAGTAAGAAGGGTTGGCAGTAGTTGGTTGAAGGTCTCTGCTGAGCCCACCTTGCACTGGAGGCAGGCTTAGAGCTGGTCCCATTTCACCCAGCAGGCTGTGGGAATTGTCTTGACCCATTCTACCTCCTCCTAAGAAGCCCTCCCAGGACTGGGAGGAAAGGTTGACCTGGGTCAAGCCTGTCCGGGTCTCCTGCCTCCTTCCCTGCCTGCTACTTGCCTTCCCTCTGGGCCCAGTCTGAAGGGAGGGGGCTTGCTGTGGTCTCCCCCCATCCAGCGTGGAGTCTGAGCTGATGGTGAGTCTGTCCATTTTGGTAAAGCGCTTGTTCTTAGTTAACTCGGGTCATTTCCGATACACAGTGACCTTAAGTCTTGGACCACCTTCATGAGCTTTGGCAGACTTGAGTGCATTTGAGTGGCTTTTGCATTCCCTCATCTTCCCTGAACCTCTGCCAAACACAAGGTCCTTTTTACCAGGTAGGTAAAGCCCTACCTGGAGCCAAAAAATGGCAAGATGTGCCCTGCCCCTCTTGGTGGCTCCCCTAAAAGAGGCGGGCAACAGACCTACTTGGGATTGAGTGTGTGAGATCCTTTGGACAGAGACTGGTTCGGACCTGGAGAATAAGCCCCAGTCACTCCAAAATAGTTTATGGTTTTGGCTTTAAAAATAATTTTAAAAGCTTTTCTCTTCTTTTTTTTTTTTTTAATGGTTGTTAATTGATGTCAGCCTGAAGGTACTGACATCGAAGATGTTGAAGGTACAGATTAAGTGGAGAAACATGTGACAACACTGTGTCTCTCTCAAAATCCCCTTCCATAATTAGCGTGTCTGTGTGTGTGAGTGGGGCGCCAGTCCATGCAGAGGGCGGTGGTGTGTGTGTGTAAACGTTAACATAGTAGCAGGAGTGAGGTCATTGGAAGTTAAAAAAACTGTTGCCATTGTGTCGACTTCAACTCATGGGGCCCCCTTGTGTCAAAATAGAGGTGTGCTCCGCAGGGTTTCAACAGTTGCTTTTTTTTTCAGAACGAGATCACCAGACCTTTCTCCTGAGGTACCTCTGAGTGGTCTTCAGCCTTCAACCTCCCAGTTAGCAGCTTTCCTTAACCATGTGCACAGCTCCCTCTGCCCCACAAAGAGTCCTATGAGGTGTTAGCTCTCAATACTGTTCTGAAGCCTTTGAATATTTTAAGCTATGAGTGTGGGTTACTTTAAAATCAGAAGAATAAGATTTTATAGAAGCCAACTCTTGAATGATGACACTTGTCTTAATTTAAAACAGTTCTCAGTTCATGAAAGATGTTCACAGGAAAGGTTTAGCTTGAGCTAGAGAAGTATAGAAAAAAACCCGCAATGGTGTGGAAGGCCCAATCCGGAGAAAGTGACTCACCCGTTCACAAGACTTGGAAGTCCCCAATGTCCCCTCACCCACAGGAATGAAAAAGAGCAGGTCTCTTGGGTGGGCCTCTGAAGATGTTTGGAAGTCACTTGACGCCGCAGGGCACATGTCTCTTGGCCTGGTGCTCCTGTGGGTTTGCCCTGGTGGGAGGAAAGGGCTTTCTTCACTTTCCACATGGGTGGGTTTTTTGTTTAACTTTGTATGGTGAGCTGGGTGAAGCTTTACAGAGCAGGTCAGTTTTCTATTCCACAATCATACACATTTTGTTACTTGTTGATTACAATGTCTACAAAGTAACATCACTTATCCACATTCTCTGAGTTCCTGTTTTCATTCCTCTACTCCCAACCCTTCTGAACTTCCTTCTTGGGAAAATGCTGCCCTTTTGGTCTGACATTCTTTTTTTTTTTTGTCCTGAGAAGTGCAGACATCCCTGGTGTTTGTTCCCCTTATAGACCTGTTGATTTGACTGGAAACTGAGCCAAGAGACTGAGTTCATTTCCAGAGCTGAAGGAGTGACAAGGCCATGGACTCGCGGGTTCTATCAGCCTCTGTCTGACCAGTAAACTGGGTCTTTTTATGATTTTGAGTATTTGTTCCACCTACTCCCAAATGGGGTTTTAGCCACAGGAATAGAGGTTAGGATTTGTACCACATACGCAGGAGCATCAAAAACTTGGTCTCTGTCTGCTTTGAGAATCAGTTAATGGGTTTTCCTAGAGCTCCAGTCTGGCTGTGGCTGCCTGGTACCCCTTTGGCTGAGGACTTTGTCCTTGTCCCAGTTGTCACTGTCCCAGGTAGTCCCTCTGACATGTATAATTTCTGGTGCTCTGTCTCAACCTCCTGGTTCTTGCTGGTTCTTTGTTCTATTGTCCTCTGGTATGAGAACTCAAGACTCATTTTCTTGTTCTCACAGAGTTTGTCTCTCTTATTAAGACGCCAGTCTTGGATCTAAACTCACTTAGAGTTTCTTCAAGTTTTCTTCGCAGTTCCATCCAAATCGATACGTTGAAATTAGTCTTTTCTGCCAAAATGTCCAGCTGTTATCCCCTCTCAAACAGTCTATTGGCTTTATTTACCCAGTTTCCGCATTTCTACCATGTAGTCTGAGCCATCCTGTATGCTTGGAAATGGGTGGCTAGTCAGTGCAGGCTGATAAGTGTTATGCTGCTTTGTAGAAAGTCCAATTCAGCTAGATTTGAATAATCATGCTTAGCTGAGGACCAACTCCATTTGCCATCTTACTACCATGGTCCTTACAAATATTTGGGTGCCGACTCCATCCTGTGTTTTATGAAGGGACTAAGGAATCATACCTAAGACACAAATTCTGATTGTCTTTGGGACTAGGAGAAGGAAGATGGGCAAACTAGAAAATAGTGAGTGAGCAGTGGACAGAGTTGTAAAGAAAAGTTGTCATCAACTAGTCCAACTCATGAGAACACCCGTGTGTCCAGTTAGAACTATGCTCCACAGATCAGTTCAGTGGTTTATCTTTCAGAAGATCACCAGGCCTTTCTTCCTAGGTCCCTGGGTAGACTTGAACCTCCCACCTTTTGGTTAGCATCTTAACACCATCCAGGGACTTAACTAGAGTCTTAGGGAAACCTCATAGAGATGTGGTCTGAGTTTGAAATTGCATGACAGGGAGACAATTACAAAGAAACTTGGGAAGAACATGTCCTACAGAAACAGTAGAGAGTAACCTTGATATACGAGGATGATTCAGAAAATTCATGGAAATATTGAACTATAAGGTCATGGATTCCCACCACCCCCTCCCCCCCGTGAATATTTTGAAGCCCCCTCAGACTTGATGATGGAAAACTGGAAGGTGTAGAGCCAGTCATCAAGGGAAGGGTTGTTAGATTTGAGGCAGTCTGAGGCTAGCTCACAGGCATCATAGAGTTTGAATTTTCTTCTAAGCTCAGTGGGGCAGCCCAGTGAGGGCTTTGAAACAGAGAAGTTACATGATCACGTTTTTTTCTTTAATGTGTGGCATGGCTGCTGGGTAGAGAATGCAGTGGGAAAAGGCAATGGTGGAGGCAGGGTGACCAGTTGGGAAATGACAGAGAGGGTGTAGGTGAGAGATGCTGGTGGCTGGCATCAGGGTGGAGGCTGTCTCCCGAAGACTGAGAAGGATTGAGTCACATCAGAAGGATGAGTCACCAACATGTGCTGACCAAATGTGCTGGTGGGTTGGGTGTGAGAGGTGTAGGGCATGTTCCCACTGCAGCCTGGCTGGGTTCCTCACCATCCTCCAGAATTCTTGGACACCCTACCTTTGAAAGGGTTCTGCGCTCTCCTTCCAGTCCCATCCTACCTGTCAAAGCCCTGGTTCAAGCCAAACTGCCTCTGCAAGGTTTCCCTTCCCCAATGCTACAGCCCAGAGCTGGTCCCCAGGGTGCTAACTGCCTGCTGAGCTGGAATGGTGGTGCCTATAGAAGCTACCCTCCATCCCACTGTGAGCCCTTTAAGGGCCTCAGTCCAGAGAGATAATTCTACCGTATTAACCCACACACTGGGTACTGAAAAATTGTCTCTACAACTGTCCTACCTACAGGTGATTTTACTTCTTTCCAGTCAATATGCCGATTTCAGAAGCTCCAGAAGGGAGGCTAAAGCAATTTAAGTACCGAGGCAGAGATGCATCTGTGAGTATGAAGCAACTGCCCCTCTCTATCAAGGGCTGTTGTTGTTGTTAAGTGCCGTTGAGTCAGTTCCGACACATAGCAACCCAGTATTGGGTTTCCAAGGAGTGGCTGGAGAATTTGAACCACCGACCTTGTGGACCAGTGCTTTATCCCACAGCATGACACCAGGACTCCTATCAAGGGTCAGTACAATCAAAAGCACATGGTTGAAATGCATCAAAATTTGTTGGAGGAATGGGCAAATACAGCAAGATGATCCTTTTACATTGGTACCTGGGGGTCCACAGAACACTTCTTTCAAGTTCCCTGTATGTTTGAAACTTCCATAATTATGTATTGAGGTGGGAAGGGGGAAAAACAATAACACATGGACATCTGTGTACTCAAATCAAGGTCCCCATGTGATCTTGAAACTGTGTAACATCAGAACGTCAGAACTTCTCTCTCTTCATCTGTAAAATGGGATGTTCTCTTCCTGGCATGTTGCATTTTCAGCTGTAACTGATCATGCCAAGAAACGAAAATGTTGGGGATATAGGTATGGCTGGCAAGCATGGCACAACCTTGCAGAAATAGGATTAGGGACCTAAGCATACAGGCTGTCCTTCTTACTACTAAGGCGAACAGGAGGGCCTGGGGCAGGACACCTGCTCTGTGTGTGGATGGCTAACTTCCACCTGACTTTCTAGTTCATGGTGGTTGTGTGTCCTACATCTGGGTAGTTCCACCTAAGGGTGGCTGTGCCTTAGGACTCTAAAAGGCAGCAGACAGCCCACAGCAGCCTAGTCAGGACACTGCCATCCGCTTCTACAAACTTGGCTATGTAGCTTCCAAGGCCATTGCAGATTAAAGGAAACAGACAAGAACCAAGGGATTGACATATGGAGAGAAGGGAGAAGTCAAAGGTAAAACAGCTTCTGCAATCAGAGGTTGCTCGGCAAAGGAGCAGCAGTACAATTGGTTCCATAGATCCTTGTAGATGAAAGAAAACTAACTAGAACCAAAGGACTGACCTACAGAGAAGGCTGGGAAGGGGGAAGTCAGAGGTATCAAGGCCTCTACACTCAGTGGTTACTCAGTGAGGGAACAGCAGTGCAGCTGGGGCTCCAGAGACCTCACAGATGTTGCTGCGTTTTCTATGTACCTGGGAGATACTGCGGGGTCGGTGCCATTTCGCTGCAACAGAGTATCACAATAAAGTGAGACACATGAACATTTCAGTTTCCCAGTGCATATAGTTACAAGTGAGGGTGGCAAGACTTTGTCTTTTATACTTCGGACATGTTATCAGGAGGGACCAGTCCCTGAAGAAGGACATGATGCTTGATAAAGTGGAAGGTCAGTGGAAAAGAGGAAACCCCACCTCCCCTGCTTCAATGAGATGGATTGGCACAGTGGCAGCAGCATTGGGCTCAAATGTAGCAATAATTGTGAGGATAGTACAGGACCAGGCACTGTTTCCTCCTGTTGTATACAAGGGTGTTTATGAGTCAGTGCTAACTAGATGTCACCTAACAACATAAAAGTTAACATTTGCACTAATATGTTGTCAGACCAATCCCTGGAGAATGACAATGTTGTTTGGTAAAGTGGAGGATCGGAGAAAAAGAGGAAGACCTCCAGTGAGATGGATTAGCACAACGGTGGCAGCGATGGGCTTGGGCATAGCAATGATTGTGAGGTTGGCCCAGGACTGGGCAGTGTTTCATTCTGTTGTTCATAGGGTCTCTGTGAGTGGGTACTGATTCGATGGCACCTAACAACAACAATGAAGTATGCAATAGCATTCTGAAAAAGTGTGAAATACTACAAGAATTATCAACATGTGACACACGAAGTGAGCACATCTTTTTGGTGGAAAAAAATGGTACCAGGAGATTTGCTTGACTCAGGGTTGCTACGAACCTTCTATTTGTTGAAAAAACTAAATGAAACAACAAAAAAAACCCAGTATTACAGGATCTGCAAAATTCAGTAAAACAAGGCATGTGTGCTGCAACCTGGTGACCCTATCTCAAGCAAGCATTAAGTAGCTTTTTTAAGGAACAGAGTATCTAATAGCTATTCACTTCCTTATAAGCGGTAATTTGGGGTAGTGGTGGTTCACTGGTAGAATTCTCACTTTCCACGTAGGAGACCAGGGTTTGATTCCCATTCAGTGCATCTCACAGGCAACTACCCATCACCCATCTGTCAGTGGTGGTTTGCATGCAGCTAGAATGCTGAGCACATTTCAGCAAAACTTCCAGACTAAGATGGACTGAGGAAAAAGGCCTGGTGAGCTACTCCTGAAAATCAATGAATGAAAACCCCAGGAACACAACAATCCAATCTGCAACCAATCATAGGATGGCGTAGGACCAGGCAGCATTTTGTTCCATTGTGTATGGGGTCGCCATGAATCAGGGATGACTCAACAGTACCTAACAACATGACAATTCAAAGTCTTCTGTCGAAACCCCATCCCCCTGTGGCTCATGTGATCTTGCAGTTCACTCCTACCTTGCCATCCAGAGCTTTATCCCACAGCGCCACACCAGGATTCCTCTATCCAGAAAGGTTACATCATTTCCCAAGGGTTCTCATTACCACAGAGTTGTAGTTGTTGATTGGTATGAGGAGAAGTACATTTGGATCTTGATGCCCTGTGGTCTCATATCCATGTGAAGCCGCTTCTAGAATTGGATTAAGGCTCAGCTGACCTCTAGACAGGTGTCACAAGGGCATGTGGGACCTAGGCATTCCTTCATCCACCTCCAGCTCCATCTGTCTCCCAGAGACAGATACTCTGTGGAATCTAGTTCATATCAGCAAAGATGCGCTCAGTCTTGGGACAATAGGATGCTATCTGTGTTTAAATGTCTTTAAAGCAGGGACTCTTGTGGTGGGTGTACACTTGCTTCTGTGAATTAGGGAGAAAGGTTGATTGTTTTTCCACATATGGTGTAAAACGAGAGAGCCGAGGAGGCTAGTTGATGGTTGTGTGTGTCTCCCAGCCTGTTGCATTGGTAAAAACAAAACCCCTGCTTTCAAGCTTGTTCTAATGACTCTAAGTGTGGTGACACTTGTCTCTTGGTGTTTTCTTTTGTTCACCAGGTGAGGCGGCAACAGCGGGTGACAGTCAGTCTGGTGCTCCGAAAGGCCAAGAAGCATGAACAGGTCTTAAAGAGAAGAAATATCACTAGCTGCTCCTCCAGCCCATCTTGCGAGACTCTGGCCAAAGGGGAGTTTCAGAGCGTGGTGCGTAGAGCAGCTGTGTGCATGCTGTACACCCTTAGCAAGTGTCCCTGACTTGGGTGTGTTTAATAAATTCTAATTTAGGATCTCTAAGGAAAGGAGTTCAAACCCACCAGCCACTCTTGTAAATCCTACATCAGGTTGCTATGAGTCAGAACAACAAGAAATGAAATGGGTTCTTGGATGTCAAACTGTGAATATGCTCAACTACTGAGGTTGGAGTTTGGAGTCTACCTAGAGGCACCTCTGAAGAACTGGCTAGTGACGTACTTCTGAAAAACTGGCCACTAAAAACTGCACGAAGCTCAGGGCTAACCTGACACACATGGGGCTACCATGAGCTGGAGTCACCTCGTGCCGGTTAAGAAAAGGAATGGGCAGTTAGTGGTTAGCAGGAGGTTGCTACTAAGTGTCATTGAGTCAATTCCAACTCATAGCAACCCTGTACAGGGTTTCCAAGAAGCGGCTGATGGGTTTGAACCACCAATCTTGTGGTTCAAGTTCTGTACTTATCCTACCACCCCACACCAGGAGTCCAGTAGAAGGCTGTTGTTGTTAAGTGCTGTTGAGTCAGTTCTGACCCATAGTAACCCTGTATAGAGTTTCCAAGGAGCAGCTGGTGAGCTTGAACCGCCGACCTTGGCGATTCAAACTGATTGCTTTGCAATCCAGCCACACCAGTACTCCAGCAGAAGGCTAAACATACTGACATACAATTCATTGTTTTATATTGATCCTACAACTTGGCAGAATTTATTAGCTCTAAATATGTATGTGTGTGTTCCTTAGGATTTTCTTTATATAAAATAATTGTGAGTCATTTGTAACCCAAGGATTTACAGACAACTCATACGTGCCCTTCAGTGTTATGTAAATTTGCCTTCACTTTGAAACAATGAATCAACCCCAAATCAAATTTGCCTCAATGGAGTCATTTCCAACTCAAAGCAACCATGTGTGGGGTTTCTGAAGCTGTAAATCTTCAAGGAAGCAGAAAGCCTTGGCTTTCTCCTGTGGAGTGGTCTGTAGGTTTGAAATCCCAGCCTTGTGATTAGCAGTCCAGTGCTTATTCTATAGCGTCACACCAACATTCCTGAATCTACTCCTACTCACAACAAATTCTTCATCAGAATCACATTCGTGGGCTGCAACTGCAGCTTTTAAGTCATTTAAGTAATTATAAAGACTTTGAGCTTTCTCTTGCCCCAAAGTCAGGCTAAATATGAACTGTAGCACCTATTCTGACTTCACTGCAAATTCGACTTAAAGACTCAGGTACATAGTTTGTTCATAACCCTGGGGACTGCCTATGATGTTACATACAAATAGATAGCTTTACTTCTTCATTTCTAATGGGGATTCTTTTTACTTATTTTAAGTTTTCATTGTGAACTGAGTGAAAATTTACAGGGCAGATCATCAGTTTTACATTCAACACATCATATACTTTGTTTCATTACAATGATTATAATCCCCTCCATGTACCATTAGTTAACAGTATTTCTCTCTATTCATTTTAGCTCTCTCTTTTTTTTAAAAAAAAAAACACTCAGGCATATATAATAATTTAAACCACCAAAAGGCACAATCTGCAAGCCTGCCTCCTGGCCGCCAGCACTCAGTCCCTCTCTTTCCATGAGTCTAGAGTCCTCAGCTGCTCCCTCTCTCCATGTCTTCATCTCTGCCTTCACCTCTGGTGTCGCTGCTTCTCTGGATAGGGTCCCACATTCCACTTGTGCTCTTCTCCCTTGATGGTCCTAGGGTCCTCTGTTTCTGGACTGTAAGATTAACAACTCAATCATTTTCGTTACAAAACTTCTACCTTTACAATTGTGACAGTTGCAATTAGTCAAGATAACAATTACTCACTATTGAATCCTAAGAATCTTATCCCCATCTCTTTTTACCAGACCCATCTAGACAAGATGAAAAGTATTCAGTGGGGAGTTTTTATTTCCTTTAAAAAAAAAAGTTTTGCCGAAATGCCCTGTGTAGAACCTCAAGTACAGTGTTGAATAGAAGTGACAAGAGCTGGCAGTCTTGTCTTGTTCCTGATCTTAGGGGAAAAGCTTTCAGTCTTTTTTCATCATTGAATATGATGTTGCTGGTGTTGCTGCTGCTAAGTGTTGTCAAGTCAGTTTCAACACATAGTGACCCTGTATAGGGTTTCCCCAGCTGCACATCTTTGTGGAAGCAAAAAGCCTCCTCTTTCTCCTGCGGGGTGACTGATGGGCTCAAACCACCGACATTCTTGTTCACAGTCCAGCCTTTACCTTACAGAGCTCCCCTAACGATGATGTTAGCTATGAGTTTTTCATAGATGTCCTTGATCCTGTTGAGAATGCTCTTTTCTATTCTTTATCATGAAAGGGTGCTGGATTTTGTCAAATGTTTTTCTACATCTATTGAGATGATTTTTTCTCCCTTAATATTTCACTGAGTTTTTATCATATTGAACCAACTTTACATTTTGGGGGATGTTGTTAAAAGGTGTCAAATCAGTTCTGACTCATAGTAACTCTATATAGGGTTTCCAAGGAGTAGCTGGAGGGTTTGAACCACCAGTATTGTGGTTAGCAGTCCAGTGCCTGGTCATGGTATATAGTCTTTTTATTTGTTGTTGCTATTTTGATTTGCTAGTATTTTGATAATTTTTACATCTATATTTGCCAGGGATATTCGTTTACAGTTTTCTTTTGATGTTTTTGACTGGTTTTGGTATCAGGGTAATAATACAGGCCTCATAGAATGAGTTGAGAAGTATTATCTCTTCTATTTTTGGGGGAAGAGTTTGTGAAGGATTGGTGTTAATTGTCCCTCAAAGGTTTGGGAAAAAAATCACCTGTGAAGTCATAATGGATCTGGGCTTCTCTTTAAATTAACAATTTAAATACTTAAAGTATTTTTTTTTAGTTAATAATTCAATCTCTTTAGCAATGTACCAATGATTCAACTGCCTCTTCTTCAGTCAATTTTGATAGCTTGTGTTTCTAGGAATATGTCCATTTCAACTATATTTTCTAATTTTGGGCATGCAATTGTTCCCTTAAAACCTTTTTTGTGTTTTGTTTTGTAGGGGATGGGAACGATCCTTGCTGTAAAGATGTGTTCCCTCTTTTGAGTTACTGCATCCATAGGTGTAGGTCAAGTTCATCAAATTGTATCAGATTACTCTTAATTTTTCCTTTTCTTTCTTCTTCTAGTTGAGCTCTGATCATTCAGTCATTGAAGCCAGGTCAAGGGGTATTATCTGAAAGTGTGGGTGTTCTTAAGCATATGCCCTCTCTTCTTATCATCTGGATGCTTCACTCTTCACTCTAGCCCTCTGTGGCTATGTCACTGACTCTGGGCCTAAAAGTCCCCAGGTCCTGACACACTGCTGGCCAACCAAGTCGCCACCCAGGTTTACAGGAGTGTATTGAATGTTGTAGGGCTTAGCTAGAAGCTTCATTGCTGTTTTTCCCTCACTTCCCCTTATCAGTGATGAATGTGATCACCAATCAGAGTGCATGTCTGCTCGTGTATTCCCATTGTCTTGGAAGGGGGTTTGCCCTGAGGAGAACTGACCACTTGCCTTGATGTCTCCTGGGTGACTAACTTGCTTGTTCTTGTAGTAATCAGTTGAACTGCCATTATTGTTTTCTATTTTTTCTGTTGGGGCCTTGTAATCTTTTATAGGCATCCTGGTGTGGCGCTATAGTGTAAGCACTGAACCGCAAGGCTGGTGATTCAAACCCACCAGTTGCTTGTGGGAAACCCTATACAAGGTTGCTATGAGTCAGAACCAACTCGACAGCACTTAACAACAACAACAACAACAGGAATCTTTTATAGTACGTTGTTGTTAAGTGCTATTGAGCTAGTTTTGATTCATAGGAATGCCTCTTATAGGGTTTCCATATCTTCAATAGTAATAGCCTCCTTTCATTCCTAATTTTAGTAATTTTTTTTCTCTGTCAGTCTAGCTAAATGTTTGTGAATTTTGTTCTTTTAAAATCAACTTTTGGCTTTATTGATTTTTCTATATTTCCCCCATGCTTTTGTTTCCATATTGTTGTTGTTAAGCGCCGTCAAGTAGGTTCCAACTCATAGTGACCCTGTATAGGGTTTCCAAGGAGTAAGCTGGTGGGTTTGAACCACTGACCTTGCAGTTCAAACTGGCCTTGCAGTCCAGCGCATTAACCTCGGTGCCACACCAGGACTCCTATTCCCTTTCTTTCTGTTTGCCTTGGGTTTAATTTGCTCTGATTTTTTTTAAAGCCTTTTAAGGTATAAAATTAGGTTATTGATGTGAGATCTTTTAAAATTAAAGACATTTATAGCTATAAATTTGTTTCTAAGCACTGCTTTAACTACTTCCCTCAACTTTTTTGCTATGTTGTATTTTCATTTTCATTCATCAAAAAATATTTTCTGATTTCCCTTGTGATTTTTTTTTTTCTTTCCCCTTTTAGTCATTCAGCTATTTAGGACTATATTGTTTAGTTTTCACACAGTTGTGAATTTCAGTCATTTAAAATTGATTAAGAAATGTTATATGGCCTAACACATGTCTATCCTGGACAATGTTCCACATGCAATTGAATGGGTGAGCTCCTAGTCAAACAAAATAAAGAGAACTTTGCAAGTGGGGTCTTCTAGGGAGTCACCAGACCAGTCAAATGATGACAATCTCTGGGAATAAAGTTTCAAGTAGATTCAACTCCAATTTGTTTTTCCCACTGACTGCCAGGCAGTTAGTTCTCACCATGATTGTAGGCTGTTGGCTTTCAAAGCTACCTGGAGCCGGAAACAACTTAAAATGTCCCAGAACTTACTGTTCTTGCCAAAATTCAAGCTTTTTCTTTACTTTCCAACTTTTTATTATGACTTGAATAAAGGATTACAGAGCAGATCATCAATTTTACATTCAATAAATCATATATTTTGCTTCATTACATGGTTGTAATGCCCTCCATGTACGAACAGTTAACAGCATTTGCCTCTATTCACTTTAACTCTTGGATTCTTCCCTGTGTTTCCCACTACCTTCAACTTTTCTCTGCTAACCCCCTTCTTGAATACTTGTATATTACCTGTCCTGTCAGGATTTTTCTTGAATTATTCTTGGCTTAAATTAAGAGGAACCCTTGTAGCACCTTGTTAAGAAGCACAGGGCTACTACTCAAAAGGTAAGCAGTTTGAACCCACTAGCCACCCTGCAGGCTGAAGATGGGGCGGTCTGCTTCGGTTAAGAATGACACCCTTGAAAACCTTATGGGGCACTTCTACTTTGCCCAGCAGGAACACTATGAGTTGAAATAAACTTGATGGTAACGGGGTTTGTTTGGGGTGCCAGGTGGGGCTTGAATAAACCAAATTGCTGCCCACCTTTGATTAATTTATAGGATTCCAAAAATGTCAATTCTGACCATTTTTGCCAGTTGGCATGTTATTTTTGTGGTGGGGAGAATTCTCTGGGGTCCTCATTCTTCCACCTTTGCTGGTGTTCATTAGCATAGTCCTAAACCGTGCCTTTAAAGAGATACTGGGGCTCCAGGGATAAGAATCAGCCCTCCTGTAGTGTATAGAGCCCTGTGGGGCCACCCACATCCTTCCTTCCCTTGGCATGGACCAACGTGCAGGATAGGGGCCTCCTGTTCAAACCGGCCTCTTCTAATCAGATGGATGGCTAGACTAGATGACCTTCACTATTGTTTTTAACAGAGACTCTGGCCTGAATGTGTGTCTCTTTGCAGGTCAGCCTCACCCTGGATGAAATAGTCAATGGTGTGAATGGAACAGACCCAGACCTATGTTTCCAGGCCACCCAGGCAGTCAGGTATTACTGGGGATACCCCTGATGTTTGCTGGATTAGAGCTAGAAATGAGCGGCAGCAGCCCATTTGGTTGGTTGGTTAGCTGCGGCAAAATGCCCACAAAATACAAAGCAAGTCTTGTCCTTCTAGAAGCGAGACCTGATTGCTGTTCTACACTGTCTTTGGGGGAACTTAAAATGTATACTGTGCTGTCAGAGATGAAGTGCCACATTTAGATTGGCCCCTGTGGGAGTCTCCATTTGTAGATAATGCCTGTAGGGACAGGGTCGGTCCATACTCCACAGTGTGTGTACTCTGGGATACTGAGTCTCTTGGGCCCAGCTGATTGTCTCACAGGAGAGTTAAGAATGCAACCTCCACAAGGGGCACCTTCAGTACCTGCCTTGAATTGACTTGCTTCTTGAATTCTCTCTCCTTACCTAGGAAAATACTGTCCAGGGAAAGGAACCCTCCCTTGAAACTGATTGTTGACGCAGGGCTCGTGCCCCGGCTGGTGTTCTTCCTGAAGTCTTCCCTTTATCCCGGCTTACAGCTGGAGGCAGCCTGGGCACTGACCAACATTGCCTCGGGGCCCTCAGAGCTGACCCAAGCTGTGGTGGAAGGGGGTGCCATCCAGCCCCTGGTTCAGCTTCTGACTTCGCCCAACATGGTTGTGTGTGAACAGGCAGTATGGGCCCTTGGTAATATAGCAGGTGAGCTTCTTCCATCAGCGGGCTAAGAAAAGTGGTCCAGGATGGCAGCAGGTATGGTGGACTTGATATTCTGGAACTTTCGGCCAGGATGATTATTGTTAGTTGCTTTTGAATCAGCTCAACTCTTGGTGACGTTTTAGCTCATCGAATGACACATTGTCCCATAATGCACCATGTTCAAGATCATTAGTATCCTTGAACCCATTGTCTCTGCTGTTGTATCAACTCTTGTCATTGAAAATTTCTCTCCAAATAGGTCCTTTTCTAAGCTTGGCCTCTCAGGATAAATACCTAGAGAGGCTGGAAGAAGTACAATAAGCTTTTGGAAAATTCAGGGCCAAGTTTGTTGATAAGTGCTGTCGAGAGTGCTGTCGAGTCAATCTGACACATAGCAACTCTGTATAGGGTTTCCAAGGAGCGGCTGGTGAGTTTGAGTCACTGACCTTGTGGTTCAAACCCACCTTGTGACCCAGTGCTTTATCCCACAACATCACAAATGAAGCTGAAAGCAGAGTGATAAGGATGCACGCTGAAGATGCAGGATGCTGGAGACATCTGCCAATACTGGCATCCTAATGCCCTTGCAGGAGTCCTGGTGTGGTGCTCTGGGCTAATGTGCTGACTGCAAGGTCAGTGGTTCAAGCTCACCAACCACCCCTCAGAAACCCTATATACAGGGAAACCCTATACAGGGTCTTATGAGTCAGACCTGACTTGACAACACTCAACAACAATACTCTGGTGATGTGTGTGGTGAGTTAAGCATTGGGCAGCAAACCGCAAGTTTGGCAGTTCAAACCCACCAGCTGCTCTGCAGGAGAAAAATGAGGTTGTCTGCTTTCATAAAGATTTTCTGTGGATTTGGTTTGGTTTGTAATAGTGTCCTTGGGTGTGGGGCAAAGAGTGTGTGCTGGCCATGGTAAAAAGACCTTGTGATCTACCCCATAAAAATTACAGCCAAGAAACCCGTATGGAGCTGAGCTGTGCTCTGTAACACATGGGGACACTGTGACTAGGAACCAGCACAACAGCAGTGGGTTTGGTTTTAGTTAATGGCTCCAGGGACAAAAGATAAAACTTTGGCCCAGGCAATGTAGGAGGTTGTAACAAACCCTTGAAAAACACAGGGCCCTAAAATGAACTCTACTTTCGTTGAACCATACCTCCATTGAAAGTTGGCTAGGGAGCATATAAAAAAGTATCGCTTTGATCGGGGTGAAGTCTCCCCTGAAGACTCAGTCATATGAGCGCCATCATGGTCTGGGGGCTTCTTCCCTACCTGATCCAGGAACACAGAAGCTTAGGGATGAATGCTACAAAACTGGAAGATCCCTCTTCTCCATTCCTGACTGAAGTAAATCCAAATACTCTCTGGGGAAATGAGATCAACTGGGCCCCTTCTGATTTTAACAAGTGAAGATCAACCGAAGTGGCCGAGTGGAGGGACAGTGAAAACAGGTAGACCCTCAACAACATGGATTGGCAAAGTCAGCAACAATGGGAATTGTGAGGATGGTGCAGGACCGCGCGGTGTTCCATTCTAAATGGTCTCTGTGGGTTGAAACTGACTAGATGGCACCTAACAACAACAACAACAACAACAACAACAAGATGAACCAAATAATTAGCAACTTCAAGTTTAGAAAAAGAACAACTCACCTTGACACAGTGAGTGGGAACAAACAGCATGATTAGACCTCCCAGGACTTCACATATTGGAATTAGTAGCTATCAAATATAAACAAGGCCTGTTTTTTAAATGCTTGCAGACATACAGCACCTCTCACGGAGACATCCTGGCTCTTCATTTTGTATGTGCCAGTAGGGAATGGGCATGACTAGGCGGCGTGATGTTACTGTCTTGCTTGGTGGCTGAAGAAATAAACCAAGTCTTCGGACATCTCAGGTTGGTCCCGAAGCCTAAGTAGCAGACAACTGTTTGCCAACACTTATTGATTTTCCAGATTCTTAGTTGCATTCGGAAATGACTGGCCCACGCCAAAATCGTCCAAGAAGACAGCTTTGTCGTCTTTAAGAGAGTTATGCTGTGCAATGCAGCCAGCATTTAGAGTACACTCCAAGGGGCTTCTTGCATCCATCCATTCACCCACCAAAACCCACTGCTATCAAATTGATTCCAACTCAGAGAGACCCTACAGAGCAGAATAGAACTGCTTCATAGACTGTAAATTGGTACAAAGCAGATTGCCACATGTTTTTCCTGCAAAGCGATTGGTGGGTTTGAGCCACTAACCTTTTGGTTTGCAGTCAAGTGCTTTGATGACGGATGGTGCCATCAGGGACCCTTTGTATAGCCACAGCTACTACTTATGGCAATTGGTTCTTGTGTGGTTTCTCTGCTTTCCATAACAAGTTTGTCCAGCCAACCAACTCCTTGGAGACTTGGGGTCTAATATATAGTTGTTCTGCTTGCCAAACCCAGGAGTGAGTTCAGGCTTCTTACCCATTAAGGAGTCCTGGTTAATGTACTGGACTGTAAGGTTGATTTGAAGTGCAAGGTTGGCAGTTCAAGTTCACCAGCCACTGCTAGGAAACCCTATGAGTCGGAACCCATTAAGTAGACTTCCCCACCCCCACCCAAAAAAAAACGAGTTACCAACCCCAGGCCTCTTTGATCTTTGAATGTCGTGCTCTGATCTGTTTGTAGGTGACAGCACAGAATTCAGAGACCTTGTTACTTCAAGCAATGCCATCCCACCTCTGCTGGCCCTGGTCTCGCCAACCATACCTGTGAGTGTCTTTGAATTAGAAACCTAGCTAGGTGACAGATTCTCAGGTTGGGAAATTTGTGGAGGTGGCTCTGAGTCTGTGCTAGATGACGTGACTTCTGGCATTCTGGAGAAGTAGATGATTGCATTCTCCATTGAAGGGCACAGACAGATTTAATGGCGCATCCGTTTGTTCATGGGCAATTAAGTCTAGCTTTGGGGGTTAGAGTCAAAGTTGATTGATGTGGCAATAATAGAGGACTCCCTGGGTTAGGCATGAAATTTGGGTTGGAATTTGCCTCAAACAAAAATGAAGAGAAGATAGCTCTCAAAAGCTAAGGGAAATCCAAAGAAGATACAGAAATGGCCAATAAGCACAGGAGATGTTCAGCATCATCTACTACTAGAAAAAGGCATCTGAAAACCACAATGAGATACTATTTCACACCCATTAAGATGGTGGTGGTGTGCCGTGGAGTCAGTTCCGACTCCTAGAGTATCCAAAGCTGTAAATCTTTATAGGAGCAGAAAGCCTCATCTTTCTCCAGCGAAACATCTGGTAGTTTCAAACTGCAGACCTTGAGGTTAGCAGCCTGACTCATAACCACTACATTAGCAGAGGTCTTTACCCATTAAGATGGGTTATCATCAAAGGACAAAAAAGGAACAGCTACAGGTAAGGATATAGAGAAGTTATGCATTGATGGTGGGGATGTAAAATGGAGCAACTGCTGTAGAAAATAGCTTAATGATTCTTCAAACAGAACCATATGAACCAGCAGTTCCTGTGCCAAAAAAACAAAACAAAAACTGAAAGAAGGATTCAAACCAATACTTGTACACCAACGTCCATAGCAGCCCTATTCACAATTGTCCAAAGATAGAAATAACCCAAGTGTCCATCAACAGATGAATGGACAAGTAAAATAAATAATAAGTACAATATAACAGAATAGTATGAAGCCATAAAAAGGAATGATTTGCGGATGCATGACAGGGGTAAACCTTAAAGACACTTTGCTAACAGAAATAAGGCAGACACAAAAGGTCAAATACTACATTGTGCCTATAGGAAATATCTGTTATTGTTGGCATCCACTGAGACCCTGACCCTTGGCATGGTTGGATTGCGATTGGTTGCTAATTGAAAAGTTGATAGTCCAAATCCATTCAGCAGGTCCACAGAAGAAAAACCTGGCAATTGGCATCTATAAAGATTGTTGTTGTTGTTGTTAAGTGCCGTCGAGTCGGTTCCGACCCATAGCGACCCTGTACAGGGTTTCCGAGGGTGTAAATCTTTATGGGAGTAGAAAGCCTCATCCTTCTCCCTCAGAGCAGCTGGTAGTTTTGAACCGCTGACCTTAAGGTTCGCAGCCCGATTCGTAACCACTACGCTACCAGAGCTACTTTCTGTAAAGATTACAGCCAGGAAAATCCTATAGAGCAGTTTTACTCTGTAACATAAAGGTTAGCCAAGAAATCCCTCATCTTAGTCGCATACTGTGGTGGCCTGCATATTGCTGTGATGGGGGAAACTATACTATCAGTATTTTCAATACCAGCAGTGTTACCCGTGGTGCATAGGTTTCAGTAGAGCTTCCAGACCAAGATGTACTAGGAAAAAGGTGAGGCAGACTACTTCTGAGTGGTTAGTCCCTGAAAACCTAATGAATATCAGCAGAAGATGAAATCTCTAGAACAGGCATATCCGTAGGGACAGTAAGTAAATCAGAGATAGCAAGGGGAAGGGGGAATGGAAAGTTAATTGCTTAATGTGAGTACTGAGTTTCTGATTGGGGCGATGGTACAGTTTTAGAAACAGATCTTGGTGGTGAATGACATAACATGTGAATTGTCATTAATGTCACTGAAATGTACACTTTAAAGTGATTCAAATTATATACTTCATGTTAGATGGATTTTACCACCACCACCACCACCCAAAAATAGCTGAGGGGAACATGTGCAAAAACATCGATCCAGAGGAAAATCTGGTAACAGTGGAACTAGAACAAGGCTAGCATTTGCAGCGAGAGAGAACCATGTTAAGAATGCAAGTTGGTTTAGGTGTCATCCTGGCAGCAAAGTGAAGCCTTTGAAGAATCTCAAGCCAGGAAATGATGGGTCTGCTTTTTCAGAAAGACCCCTTCTGGAAGCTTGGTGTAGGGTTACAGCAGAAGGCTGTACATTGTACACTGACCTGGAATGTTGATGGTAAAACCAAAACCCAAGCTTATTGCCACTGAATCAATTCCAACTCATAGTGACCTGGAGGACAGAGTAGAACTGCCCCATAGTATTTCCAAGGCAAACTGCCACGTCTTTATCCTGCACAGGACTGGAGGGTTCCAACCACCAACCTTATAGTGAGCAACTTGAGTGCTTAACCACTGGTCTGCCATGGCTCCCACCTAGACACGGTAGGAAGACAGAGATAAACAAGAAAGGGTGCCGTTAGGTCTCAGGACAGATCACTGAGGTGACTGTCCTCTAGCAGAGATAAGAAAGATGGCAGGAGGAAGGAATTGGAGCTTTAGTTAAAGACCTTCTATTGGAGTAAGAGGTGTTGTTGGAGTAGGAGATGCAGGTCTAGGTGAGTGTGTTTATGCAGTGTCCTCATTCCGGACAAGGTCACCTAGAGTAGGGATGAGCAGCTGCTTGTAATGTAACCAGCTGCTTGTCTTTATAAATAAAGTTTTATTGAGACATGGTCACGCCCTTTGTCTTACATAGTGACTGTGACTGTTTTTAGGCTACAATGTAGCACAGTTAAGTCATTGTAACAGACTGTATGGATTACAAAGCTGAAAACCTTTACTATCGGGCCCTTTACAGTAAAAACTTGACAAGACCTGACTTTGCTTGTAAGGAGAGCTTGGGACCAAGCCAGAGATCAGATTACCTGCCTAGAAGACTGAGAAGGCACAGGCAATTTGTCAGTAGAAAACCAGATGTTTTGGTATCACTGATGCCAAGAAGAACTTGTTCAAAAGGGAGCAGCTGGCTACTATATAAAGCGAATTTGAGGACAGTCACTGTAGGACTCAAAAGCAACCATTGAGCTTGGAGACCTGGGAAGAGTCAATTTCTATTATTGACTACAAAGAAGTAGGAGCAGAAATCAACCTAGACTGGTTTAAAGAACAAGGGGAAGCTGTGAGACGGACTGTGAATATTGACACATCTTTGATTGAGAATGTTGTTGTTGTTGTTGTTAGGTGCCATTGAGTTGGCACCGACTCATAGCCACTTTATTTATGCACAGCAGAACGAAACACTGCCCGATCCTGGGCCAACCTCACTGTTGTTGCCACGCTTGAGTCCATTGATCCTGCCACTTGGCCAGTCCATCTTGCTGGGGGTCTTCCTCTTTTTCTCTGACTCTCCACCTTACCAAACATGATATTCTTCTCCAGTGACTGGTCCCTCCTGACCATCCGTCCGAAGTCTGAGAGACAAAGTCTGGCCATCCTGGCCTCTAAGGAGCACTCTGTCTATTGGTCCAGTGGTGAGGATTTTTGTTTTCTTGACATTGAGATGTAATCCATATCAAAGGCTGTGCTCTTTGATTGAGAATGAATGGACCATGATATATGGAAGTGGGGAGATGGCTAGAGAGGTGGCAAGGGAAAAATCTAGACTGAAGACATCAGAAAATATTTCATGCTGGTGGAAGTGGTCCAGGGGAGAGAGGTGACCCTGGGGGCAAAGTCTTTAAAGGTAATATGGGATGGGGTCCAGAAGGTGAGGTAGGCAGACCAGTCTTTGAACAGAAGAACAGAAGTGATTATGACATGCTGGTAGAGTTATAGATTAAGAAGACGACCAACTAACTCCAGCTTGATCTTGATTTTGATGAAATTAGGTAGTTGATTACATAGAGTAGGGGGAGAGGATATTTTGAAGAATATTAGGGAATCTCCATCTAAATTGAATATGAAATTTCAAGTCCATCCTCATTGTCCCTAGTCCATATCTTTACGTAGAAAACTTCCTATTCCAAGTGCAAAAGCTTCGCCCCAGATGCTGGGACCAATGTCTTTTGTTACAGATCACATTTCTGCGGAACATCACGTGGACATTGTCCAACCTGTGCAGGAACAAGAACCCGTACCCTTGTGCTCAGGCCGTGAAGCAAATGCTGCCTGTCCTCTTAAACCTCCTGCAGCACTGTGACACCGAGGTCCTCTCAGATGCCTGCTGGGCCCTGTCCTACCTCACCGATGGCTGCAATGAGCGCATTGACCTTGTGGTTGGCACGGGAGTCCTGCCCAGGCTGATGGAGCTCATGACCAGCTCGGAACTCAATATCTTGGTAAATATTCTCCCAGGTCCCATCTTTGTCTGAGGACTTTTAGCCAAGAGTATGAATCATATTCACTATATCACGTTTTGTCTTCTACTCACACCCACTCCACCCAGGCCTTCCACTGTCGGCTCCGATCCTTTCACTGTAACCAAGCTTGCCATCTGCAATTCCCTGGTCTTTGCCATTCACTAACCAAAGACTTGAATCCAATTTGATCTCCTGAATTAAGTGATTTAGAAGCCCTAACGGCACAATGGCTAAGCACTCTGTTTAATGTGGAAGGTCAGTTTGAACCATCTGGTGACCCCCTCAGGAGGAAGATCTGGCAATCTGCTCCCATAAAGATGGCAGCTAAGAAAACCCTATGAGGGCAGTTCTATTCTAACACATGGGGTCTCTAGGAGTCCAAAGTGGACTCAATAGCACCTAACAACAACAGAAAATAACTTTCTTAATCATGACTAGAAGACACAGAAAAGTACCAAATGAAAATTACTTGTAATCTGACCTCCCAGTCCTGGTGGGGCACTGTAGAATAAGCACTTGACAACAAGGTCAGTTTGAACCAAGAGGTCAGCAGTTCAAACTCGACCAGCATCTCCTTGGAAACCCAACATAGGGTCACTATGAGTAAGAACGCACTTGACATTTGATAACAACAACAGTAAACTGTTCTTTTACTGCACTTCCTTCTAGTAGTCTGTTGTTGTCAAGTCAGTTCCGACTCATAGTGGCCCTATATAGGGTTTCCAAGGAGCACCCTGGTAGGTTTGAACCACCAACTTTGCGATGATCAGTCTAGAGCTTATCCTACAGCGCCACATCTGTGGTTAAGACTTCAACAACTTGACTTATGTTGTTCAGTGCCATTGATTCATTTTGACCCCATCTCTAGTTTCTGAGAAGCAACTGACTTTGCAGTTCCAACTGACCTTGCGTCCTGTTTTATCCTACAGCACCGCACCAGGACTCCATGTTGGTTTATACAGCATGCATAATTTTTAGGAGGTAAAAGCTAATTGTAATTTTTGAATTTCTTACCCAATGTTGCCAAGTCCTTCTGACGCATAGTGACGCTATAGTACAGTATAGAACTGATGCGTAGAGATCCCAAGGCCGTCATCTCTATAGAGGAAGACAGTGACAACTGTCTCCTGGAGTGGCTGATGGATGTGAACCGCTAACCTTTTGGTGACCAGCAGAGTGCTTAAGTACTGCATCTGCTCCCATGAAGGTGTCAAGCATTGGAAAGACTATGGGGCAGTTTTACTGTGTTCTATATGCTTGTATGAGTCAGACTGATGTGGCAAAGAGTTGGAATTGACTCGGTGGCAGTGGGTTGACCTTAACAAGCATTAAATAAGGGATTATCTGTGCATTCCTTCTAGTTTGTTCTCTTCTATCTCTTCAAGTATAGCTGAAAATCAAGTAAAGCTACTGTGAGTGCTATGTTCTTGTTGTAAACGTGGGTTACTTACATGATGCACTGCTTTAGAATGCAAGAATATTGTGACGTATCAGCATAGCATGACTAGTATTTGGGAAGGCATCTTCCACAGGGATACATTTGCAATATGTGGTTTGACTTCTGGCCTTGTCCTCCTAGACCCCCTCTCTCCGCACGGTGGGCAACATCGTCACAGGAACGGATCAGCAGACACAGATGGCTCTCGATACGGGCATGCTGAGTGTGCTCCCCCAGCTCCTGAGACACCCCAGATCCTCCATCCAGAAGGAGGCGACCTGGGCCCTGAGCAATGTGGCTGCAGGACCCAGGCAGCACATCCAACAGTTGATTGATCAAGGCATACTGCCCATCTTAGTGGCTGTACTGAAAAACGTAAGTCATACTCTGCCTGCTGGTTTCCAACTAACAAACAAATGATAGCCACATCTCATCTGTGGTAGCTAAAAGGAGTCCTGCTGGCTCTGTAGGATAAGTTCACTAAAAGGTTGGCAGTTCAAACCCACCAACCACTCAGCAAGAGAAAGCTGAGATGATCTGCTCCTGTAAAGATTTACACTCAGAGCTCCATATAGGGTTGTTGTGAGTTGGAATTAACTCGATGGCAGGGCATTTTTTTGGTTACTTTTTCCCGGGGTGGGGTGGGCGGTGATGGTCTAAGGAATCCTGCTTAGCTCAATGGGTAAGTGCTAGGTCAGTGGTTAGAACCTGCTCAGAGGTTCCACGGGGGTAATCTGTTCCAGAAAAAAGATGACAACCTTGGAAGCTCTATGAGGCGTCTCTGCTGTCTCATGTGGGGTCACCGTGAATCCAAACGGACTCAGTGGCCCTGAACAACAATAATATATGGTCTCTAAAGTCACCATGAGCACGAGTTGACGTTAAGTGCCATTGAGTCTGTTCCAAGTCACAGTGACTTGTTTGTATAGAGTTTCCAAGGAGCAGTTGGTGAGCTTGAATGCTAACTTCATGGTTAGCAGTCAAGTGCTTATCCTACAGCGCACACCAGGACATTGACTTAATGAATATGGAACTACTGCTCCAGGAATAATGCAGAATTAGGTTCTACTAGCCTCTGGCCACACCATTTCCCTCAGCCCTTAATACATAAACTCATTGAATGTGTGCATCTGTTTAAAGTCACGCTACTTAATATGGAGGAGCTGTGGTGTGGCATTGCGGGTTAATGCATCAGACTGCAACTGTCAGTCTGAATCACAAGGTCTGTGGTTCAAGCTCACCAGCTGCTCCTCGGAAACCCTATAAAGGGTTGCTATGGGTCAGAACCAACTAAACAGCACATAAAAACAAAATAAATAAATATGGAGGAGTCCTGATGTGGCATTGCAGGTTAATGCGTTAGACTGTAAGGTCAGTTTGAACTGCAAGGTTCAAGCTCACCAGCCAGTCCTCGGGAACCCTATACAGAGTCACTATGAATTGGAACTCACTAGACGGCACTTAACAACAAATTTAGCATGGAGCATTGATTCCTTAACTCATGGTCAATGGCACTGTATCTTAAGTCCACAGGAAGCTTCTCAAACGCATGTATTTTCTCCATCAGCCGCATCACAGCCCTCTTGCATTTAGGAACGCTGGACAGAGCTTTAGCACTATATTGGGTGGACTGTCTTAGACAGTGAAACTACCCACAAAACACAAAATTATGACAAATTACCACTAAGTAGACCACCAAAAGGACACTTGAAGGTAGAGGTTGTCCTTGTTCAACCTCCACTGGGGACACGCATTGTCTGGAAGACAACGTTGACATCTCTCTGCTCCTCCGTGACCGTGAATGACAGAAGACCACCGAGTGTGTTGATCTGGAGTTTCAAATACATTCTAGTGCAGAAAGGAATTTGGACTATGGAATAGGCAGATAATGACGATCCGTCGTTGACGTCACAGGAAGTGATGGAATGTTAGTTGCCTAGCTCTACCTGCTAAAGGAAGGGGCATCCAGTTTTTGGAAAGCCCATCACAAATGTGGAATACTAGAACATCGCTCTGTGAAAAGGGATTCCACAGCTCAAACATCCAGAAAAATCGTGACCTGGCCCAGACTGGCTCATGTCTCCGTGGTGGTAGAAAAACGCACCATCTCATGCCCAGTCAAAGGAGGGAGGCCTTTATTTTGTATTGGCTTACTTAACTTTTCATCTAGGGGAAAGAACATATCAGGTTACAAAAGTTCTATCACCGAAGAAAGATGGCCTTTTCAGTGTATAGATTAATTTGATCAAAGTAGCAATGTAAACAACAAAAAAATCCAAATAGAAAAACAGAAACCACATTAAAGTTTCTTTATTCCTCCTAAATTCCACTTCTCCAAGAACAGCTAATAACATCAGTACAATGAACCTTGAACAACACAAGAGTTAGGGTCACTGACCTCCCGCACAACCAGAAATCCACCTGTAAATGACTGTTGACCCTTGAACTGCCCAGACCCACTTACTCACACATTTTTCCCCTTCTGCTGCTGCAGTGAGCTCTAGTGTGAGTTTCCGCTTAGTGTTGTATGAGGTTTCTCATCTCCAAATGAGCAGTTGGTCTTTCCAGCACCTGCTCATGTGCAGTTGATGAACAACACACAGTACTTTAAGTGGATTCTCTCCACATTGAAGTTCTCTGTCATGGTGGTGGTGTGCCATGGAGTCAGTTCAGACTCATAGAGACCCTGAATAGTAAATCCTTACAGGAGCAGAAAGCCTCATCTTTCTGCCGTGGGATGGCTGGCAATTTCAAACTGCTGAACTTGAGGTTTGCAGCCCAACTTGTGACCACTATGCTGCAGGGGGAAAAATTTACATACTTGGGCCCATGCAGTTCAAACCTGTATTTAAGGGTCAACAACACTGTGTTACCTTTTGCCACCTTAAAATGAATAAGCTATTGTTTAAACCATTTGTGTGAAACAAATCACGCTAGTGATTCCTGGGAGTCAGGGCAGGGAAGCAGGTGGGACAGGCTGGAGGTAGAGCTACTGACAGATGGCTTCTTTTTCAGGTTGAGTGGTGGGTTCCCCTCCCAGATGTGCATTAGGCATGATGTGTGAGGCCCAGATCACAGCATCTGATTTATTAGACACTTAACTACTTCTGTAAATCTATGGTTCAATGGTAGAATTCTTGCCTTTAATGTGGGAAACTTGGAATCGATTCCCAGCCCAATGTATTGCATTCACAGCAAATTATCTGTCAGTGGAGTCTTGTGTTGTTAGGGTGCTGAAGAGGTTTCAAGAGCTTCCAGAATAAGATGGACTAGGGAGAAAGGCCTGGTGATCTACATTCATAAGCCAGCCAGGGAAAACCATACGGATCGTGACAATCTGATCCACAACCAATCACAGGCCTGGCCTGGGGTCTGGCACTGTTTTGCTCCATTGTGCATGAGGTACCCATATGTTGGCATTGATGCAATGGCTGCAGTAGTCACACGGGACTACAGCCAAGAAGTAGAGAGTGCCATGGGAGAAAAGGCTGATGTCAAAACTGGTAAAGGTTGGAGAATGGAGATACGTCTGATCTCTGCCTCATAGGGATCCATCTTGGTTTGATCTTGGTTCACGTTAAGTGCCATCAAGTAGGATCTGACTCATAGCAACTCTGTACAGGGTTTCCTAGGAATTCCTGGTGGGTCTGAACTGCCAAGAGTTGTCAAGTGCTTATCCTACAGTGGTGCTGCACCAGAGCTCCTGGTTCACAGTATTCCATCTGAAGTTAGACAGGTTGTATCGCAATTATTACTCCAGGAGTCCTGGTGTGGTGCTGTGGGTTAATGCACCAGACTGCAAAGCCATTTGAACTGCAAGATTGGCAGTTCAAGCTGGTGTGGCGCTGTGGGTTAATGCACCAGACTGCAAAGCCATTTGAACTGCAAGATTGGCAGTTCAAGCTCACCAGTCGCTCCTCGGGAACCTTATACAGGGTCGTTATGGGTCGGAAACGACTCAACAGCACTTCACAACAACAACAACAACCATTTGATAGTCCTGGTGTGGTGCTGTAGACTAATGCGTCAGCCTGCAAAGTCATTTGAACTGCAAGGTTGGTGGTTCAAGCTTACCAGCTGCTCCTTGGAAACCCTAAACAGGGTTGCTATGGGTCGGAACCGACTCAACGGCACTTAACAACAACAACAACCATTTGATACCAGCTTTGTAACTATGGAACTTCTTGTTACAGTCTTGACTGGGTCTGAAAGACTAGAAACAATGAACATTACCCACCACAAGTTGCTATCAAGTCCAGCTCAAGACAGCCCCAGTATGTCAGAGTAGAATTGTGCTCTATGTGCTTTCTTATGTCTCATTTTTCTAATTTTGCCAGGCCTTTCTTCTGAGGAGCTTGTGTAGACTCAAGCTCTCCTTACTTTGGGTTCACTACTGAACATGTTAAACCGCGCAGGGTAAATGTACTTGATGTTATTTGTTATTGTTGTTGTTAAGCGCCGTCAAGTTGGTTCTGACCCATAGCAATCCTGTATAGAATTTCCAAGAAGCAGCTGGTGAGCTTGAACTACCGACCTTGCAGTTCAAACGGCTTTTCAGTCTGGCGTATTAACCCACAGAGCCACACTAGGTGCCATCAAGTCAGTTCTAACTCAGAGACTTTATGCACAACAGAATGAGACACTGCCTGGTCCTGTGCCATCCTCACAATCATTGCTAAGTTTGAGCCCATTGCTGCTGTCACTGTGCCAATCTACCTTGTTGGGGGTCTTCCTCTTTTCACTGACCCTCCACTTCACCTAGCATGATGTCTTTGATGGACTGGTGCCCTCCAATAACATGTCCAAAGAATGTGAGACAGTCTCACCATCCTGGCTTCTAAAGTGCATTCTGGCTGTACTTCTTCCAACACAGATATGTTTGTTCTTCTAGCAGACCATGGTACTTCTAATATTGTTCTCCAACACCATAGCTCAAATTAGGATGTATGTGCCAGGATTGTATTCTCTAACCATACTTTTTCAATCTGTATGGTGAAGAAATAATCCAAGAAGCTGGATTATATGAAGAATGTGGCTTCAGGGTTGAAGGAAGACTCATTAACAACCTGTGATATTCAGATGGCACAATCTTGCTTGCTGAAAGCAAAGAGGACTTAAAATACTTAACTGATGAAGATCAAAGACCACAACCTTCTGTATGGGTTACAGCTCAATATAAAGAAAACAAAAATCCTCACCACCGGACCAGTAAACAACATCCATATAAAATGGAGAAAAGATTGAAGTTTTTTCTAAGACTTATTTTGCTTGGCTCTACTATATCAACTCTGGCAGTGTAGTGGTTACGAATCAGGCTGCTAACCTCAAGGTTGGCAGTTCGAAACTACCAGCCGTTCCATGGGAGAAAGATGAGGCTTTCTACTCCCGTAAAGATTTACAGCCTTGGAAACCCTGTGCAGGGTCACTATGAGTTGGAACTGACTCCACGGTACTTAACAACAACAACTGTATCAACACTCATGGAAGGAGCTGTCAATAAATCAAACGAAGCATTGTATTAGGCAAACGTGCTGCACAAGCCCTCTTTAAGTGTTCAGTAGCAAAGATGTCAGTTTGAGGACTAACATGTACCTGACCCGAGCCATGGTATTTTCAGTAGCTTCATATGTATGTGAAAGTTGGACAGTGAATAATGAAGACTATATAAGAATTTATGGCATTTGAGAAATAGGATATTGTAACCTAAGATTCCAAGCAGAATTTCTGGTTTCTATAGATTACCTAAGGAACCCCAGGTAGCAACAATGGTTCAGCTGCTACCTGAAAAGTGAGTGGTTCAAACCCACCAACTGCTCACAGGAGGAAAAATATGATCTGTTCCCATAAAGATTACCACCTCAGTAACTGTATTATCTATAGAGTCACAATGATTTCAAATAAATTGATGGTGTACAGTAACGTAAATTACTTGGATTGTTTGTTTTTCTCATAGCCTGACTTAGGGAAATGAGTCTATTTGACTTTAGAATCTTTAAGTCTGACTGTTGAATTGTTGGCATCTCAAAGATTGTGTCTTTGGAGAGGCTGGCTGCTAAGGTACTTTATGTAAGTTTCATGTGTGTCCTAGCTGTCCGAAGCTTACCTAAAATTTGAACCAAAATCACTTCACTATACTTAAGTTCTAGGCCATCTGTGGAAAATGTGAATGCTCTCTTTTCTGCAGGGAGAATTTAAGGTCCAGAAAGAAGCTGTGTGGGCAGTGGCTAACTTCACCAATGGAAGTACTGTGGACCAGTTGGTCCAGCTTGTCCAGTCTGGAGTCCTGGAACCACTGGTCGATCTGCTCACTGTCCAAGATCCCAAAATTATTGCCATCATACTTGATACCATTGCCTACATTCTCCAGGTGAGCTTTCTGAACAGGTATGGTGGTGGTGGTGGTTATGTGCCGTGGAGTCACTTCCGACTCATAGCAACCCTGTACAGGGTTTCTGAGGCTGTAAATCTTTACGGGAGCATAAAGCCCCATCTTTCTCCCATGGAACAGCTGGTAGTTTTGAACTTATGACCTTTAGGTTCGCAGTCCAATTAGTAACCACTATGCTACCAGAGTTCCTTGAACAGGTTGGTAGCAACCCCCAAATTTGAGGAAGACATACTGCACTCTAGTCACCCCTCCTCCACACATTCTCTGGGCAGCAGAAATAAGAGGCCTCTCAAAACAGTACCATCTTCGTCTTCTCCCATAAGCGTCTTGTACCAGGTGCTGTTTCAGATGCTCAGGGCATGATATAGAACATGGTCTTTGCTCTCAGGGAGCTGAGCTATTAGGGGCTGAGGAGACAGGTAGCATTAGGAACCATATTGTGTCCCCCACCCCTTTGAACCTTATCACCCACTATTTCCCAGTCCTTTCTCTTGGCTCTAGTCACATTCTCCTGTCTGGCTATTCCGTTTGCCTAGAATGGTCTCTCCCAGATCGCTACAAGACTGCTCACTTCTTCCAGGTCTTTCCAGGTCTTTACTCAAGTGTCCTTTCTCAGAAGCTCTCCCTGACTGCTGCCTATAAAATAACATCACCCCCTCCCCATCAAAGCCATCCGTGACGATTACCCCTTTACCACGCTCCTTCACCCAGACTTTTCTACTCTCTTAGTTCTCTGATGCTGTTGGAACAGAAATGCCATAAGTGGGTGGCTTTAAAGAA